CTCGTGTGACTGCCTCTTCAAGCCAACCCTTGGAATGCCCTCTTGAAGATTATCTGAAGATCAATTTTGATGCTGCTGTTTAAGCCTCTGGTTGCTCGTCTGGTCTTGTGGTTCGTGGCTCGGACGGTCATGTTCTGCTTGCCTCAGGTTTCCAGCATCCAGGGATTTCATACCCGAACCTTGCAGAGCTCCTTGCAGCAAGGGATGCTATCTCACTTGCAGCTTCTAGAAAGTCTGCCTCGTGTCATCATTGAGTGAGATGCTGTTGTGGTCATCCGTCAACTTAGCCTTGGTGCAGTGGAGGATTCCGTGGGTGGTCTCATTCTTAGAGATTGTAGGCTTATCCTTGGGTCTTTGTCTCTTTTGTATAGAATTTAGGGCGGTTCCGCGGACTGCCAACTGGGCTGCCCATAGAGTGACACGTAAAGCCCCGTGATATCTCGGCTAGAGTTAGCTTCTTTTGACTTTGTAGGTTGGTTTGTTAGCGGGGTGGGGAGGGAGTTTGGGTAGTTTTTGTTCTAACTATCTTTCTGATATTACTCAGGCAAAAAAAACCCCTTACTTAGCTATGTTTCCCCCCATTTTTTTAAAATAACGGTCAACATTAGATTAATGACAACTTTGGAATAAAAATATTTAACACATTAGATTATTACCCATATTTATAATTTACTATCTTATTTCTCTCCCCGAACTCTAAAACCCAATCTCCATCTCCCCCGACAAGAAACAACAACACTTTCTCTTCTTCCCTCACCCCTCCCGCTGGCTCTCCCTCCGCCCATCTCCCCTCCCCTCCCCACTCCACCACCACCACCCATCCTTCTCTTTCCCTCCCCATCACACCACCGCCTCACCCCCTCCCCTCCCCATCCCACCACACCACCATACATCATCACCGTTGCCCTCATCCTCACATCTCTCTCTCTCTCTCCCTCTCCCCTCCCCCGCAATCTCTCTCTCACAGGCGGCTGAAAAAGGTGGAATGAATAAAAATACTAGATCTGATTTTTTCGCATTGGTAGTGTTTTTTTTTTTGTATTGGTAGTGTTTTTTCACATTGGTATTGTTTTTTCGCATTGGTATTGATTATCATGTAAGCGTATTGTTTTTTTGTGAAATGGTAGTGTATTTTCTTCTTCTGTAGTGGTAGTATTTTTTGCATTGGTATTGTTTTTCTCTTTTATTGCATTAGTATTGATTATCATGTAATAGTATTGATTTGCATGCAGGGGCGGATCTACGTTGAGACTCGGGGGGGCCTTAGCCCCCGAGAATTTTGAAAATCGCGTATGAGTACAACGAGAATTTTAAAATTACGTATTAATTAAGTAATTTGTATAAATAACGACATTGTGCAATTTGATTTAAATACCGTGCATGTAGTCTAGCGGGTAAGTGAATGTCTTTTATGTTAGGGAACGTGGGTTCAATTTTTGAGTTTTTTGGTCCATTTTTGCTAAAAAAATTCGGAAGAACATGGTACAAATAAAAAATGAATATTTTTTGTTGACAATTTATTTAATAATGTTGAATATCATTACTAATTTTTCAATTTAAATCATAATTTTAGTGCTAACAATTATCTTAGATAATAAATTATAGGACTTTGCTACGGGGACATGCATGTCACGGTGACATGCACTTTTCGGTCGACCTCATATAGGATTAGGTCGACCTAATCTGTTGTTTCAGTGTAAAAACAGTTTCATGGTGCCTACTTTGGAGATTCATATCTTACAATTGGCTAGATGGAAATTGGAGATTAAAGACTTGTTTTGAAGCTGAAGTGTCCCTCTACACATTAAAGTACTTGGGAGCTCAATAGAAAGTTCAGAAGACCATTTTTGAACCTGACCAAAAGGTTATGCCAAAACTGGGAAACTGTCTGGAAATGGCTAAGTCTGGCAACGTGTTTGTCAAGCCTGCTTTGGAGCTCAATTTGAGAAGCATGGATGCGAGTCAAGTCCAGGGGCCTCTACCACGTTAAATTACGTATTTTATTATACAAAGGCAAGGCATTGGATGAAAGATTGAATATCTTTAAGGCTTCAAACAAAAGGCTCGAAGTTGCTAGAAAGGCTGTTTTTCTGGCAGCTTGCTTGTGCTCGAAGTCTGCCAGAAAAACAGCCTTCGTAGCAACTTCGACCCTTTTGTTTGAAGCCTTACAGATATCCATTTTTTCATCCAATGCTTTGAATTTGTATAAAAACATACATAATTTAACGTGGTAGAGGCTCCTGGACTCGACTCGCATTCATGCTTCTCGAATTGAGCTCCAAAATAGGCTTCACAAACACGTTTCCAGACTTAGCCATTTCCAGGCAGTTTCCCAGTTTTGGCATAGCCTTTTGATGATGTTCAAAAATGGTCTTCTGGACTTCCTATCGAGCTCTCTTCCACTCCAATATGTAGAGGGACACTCCAGCTTCAAAACAAGTCATTAGTCTTCAATTTCCATCTAGCCAATTGTATGATATGAATATCCAAAGTAGGCACCATGAACTGTTTTTACACTGAAACAACAGATTAGGTCGACCTGATCCTATATGAGGTCGACCGAATCCTAAATGAGGTCGACCGGATCCTATATGAGGTCGACCGGATTCCAAATGAGGTCGACCTAATCCTAACTGAGGTCGACCGGAAAGTGCAAGTCACCGTGACATGCATGTCACCGTAGGCACACCCTAAATTATAATGTGGGATTTATATTATTTGTTTTTTTTTATTTTTACGATAATACGTGCTAAAAAAAAATTCGCCCCCCGAACTTCAAATCCTGGCTCCGCCCCTATTTGCATGTATTGATATTGATTAAATCTGCAATGGTATTAGTGTTTTGTGAAATGGTAGTGCTTTTATTTCTCGAATGATATTGGTGTTTTGTGCATTGGTAGTATTTTTTTAATGGATTGGTATTGTTTTATTGTTGCAACGATATTAGTTCAGCTGAACGAAAACAAGGAAAAGATTGAGAAAAAAAAGGAGCAGAGATCCGGCTGGAGATTGTGGAAGTGAGAGAAAGAAAGAGAAAATTTTAATTAATATATTTTGGGTTAATACCCTAATTTGGCCTAAAGTTTGGCGTAAGTGTTAGTTTTGGCCCCAATTTTTCAATAAGACAGTTGTGGCCTACTTTTCAAATTAATGGACAGATTTGGCACTAATCTTTTTTTGACCGTTAATATTGACAGTCAAACAATTATTCCGTTAGTGACTCAGAAAAAATTGTTGATGTGTCTTATACATGGTGCCACATCATTAAATAATATAATTTTAATTTTGTCATTTAATTAAAAAAATGAAAATTAACAAATTAAAAAAAATTCCCTCCCATTATCCCATCATCCCAAAATCCCAAATCCAAACCCTAATCTTAATCAACCATCATCGTCAAAATCAATCCTTCGACCTCCGTTGCTGAAGCCCTCTCTGCCCTCCAATCCTCCGGCCACCACGACACCGATACCGATGTCCTTCCCCTTTTACCACTCTGCCCTGCCCTGCCCTTCCTGAAATGGCGTCCCCCACAGACCCCTTCCCTACAAAAACTTCTCACCTTCTACTAATATGAACCACATTCCAGATCACGCCTCAGCATCCTCCGACTACGAAACTTCGAGCGTGGGAGAGAGGTCAAGGAGGAGGACGAGATCGGAGGAGACCGGGCGTTAGTCTCTGGATCCATCACAGCGAAGCGCGGCGGAGTTGGAGGGGTCACACTGGCCACAGAGGGAACTCAGACACGTCTGCGGAGGACGGCGGTGGGACTCGAAGTCAAGGGTGTTGGTGGCAGGGACAGGGATGACGCAAGCAACGTCTTTTTTGTTGTTGTTTCACTTGTTTGGGCTAGAACAGGGGAGGGGAATTGAGCCGCGAGCGTTTTGGTAGAACCCGATGATGTAGACGGAGCCAAGGAAAACGGCGGCGAGGGCTTTGATAAGGTTTGGTCGTTTGATTTTGGAGGCAGTGGTTAGGTGATGGTGATTAGAGAACGGCGGCGCCATGGAAGGGGTTGGAAGAAGAAAAGAGGAACTTTGGAAGGGAACGAGATGTTTTTAGATTAGGGTTTGAGTTTTGTGCTTTTGGGAAATTTGGAATAATAAAAGGGAACTTTTTAATTGTTGGTTATTATTTTTTATTTTAATTTGAATTACAAAATTAAATTATATTATTTAGTGATGTGGCACACGCATAAGCCACATCAGTCGTGTTTTGCTGAGTCACTAACGGAATAAGTGTTTGACCGTCAATATAGACGGTCAATGAAAATTTCGGGCCAAATCTGTCCATTAATTTGAAAAATGGGTCATAACTGTCTTATTGAAAAATTCGGGCCAAAACTGACACTTACACCAAACTTCGGGCCAAACTAGGGTATTAAGCCATATATTTTTGTAACTTTCTAAGATAAGGTAATTAATAATTTTTTTATCATACCCAATTTACCCTTAGTAACTACGATGATTACTACTGTGAATTGTAACCTTATTTCAATAAATTTGTAGTGACTTGCGAGCACTTCTACTATGCTATATAGTATTGGTGCTTTAATGTACAACTTAAAGTTGTACCATAACATTAAATGTATAAGTTTAGGTTGTACCATAAAGCAATTTGTACCATTATGTTATGGTACAACTTTACAACTTGAAGTTGTACCATCACTTAAAGGTACAAGTTCAAGTTGTACCATAAAAGAATTTGTACAAAAAGTATAGGTACAATCTGAAATTGTACCATAACGTAAATGTACAATTTTAAGTTGTACCATAAAGGCAAAATCCTATAGCACCAATAATATATAGCATTGTAAAATTCTATTGACTTGCTGGTCTCAAATTAAAAAAAAAACGGAGAAAATGACAATAAATGATTTCAACGCCACGAATTTAGCGTCACCGGTTTAGACGGTAGCCGATCGAGAAACGGGGCCGCGGTTTGTGCTGATTTCCCCCCTTCCCTTTCGCATTCCATTTAATAAAAATTAAAATAATAAAAAAAATTTGGTCTGGTTGTTCTAGGGTGTCTCCTTCGTTTGCTTGATTGCTTCCCTCTGCTAAAGGCCGCTTTTCCACAGTGCCGCTTTGCTTCTTTCTTTCCCCTATTATTTAGTCGCACTCTCCGTCCATTTACAGACCTCGGCATTCCCACACATAGATAGCAGTCCTTCTTCTTCTACTACTTTCCTCCACGTTCCTCTACCTTTGACCTTCTTATAACCTCTTTCCCCGTTATGTAATTTCTTTCGCCGGAGATTATTCTTTATTGAGGTTCTTTTCTCTCTCGAGTAGCCCCTGGACGAAGGGGAAGCAACAAACAGCTGAACCGATTCCGGCCAGCCATGGCTCTCCTGCTTCGTTTCTCTCTCCTGGGTTTGATCTGCATTGCTCTGTTTTCGAACCGCTGCTTTGCCGCCGACCCAACGGTCTCTTATGATTACAAACTCACTTACATAACCGCCTCCCCTCTCGGCGTTCCTCAACAGGTCCCCTTCTTCTACGATCCCCCTCTCCGTCCGCATTGACTTCTAGTTTTCTTGCTTCCAAATGGTTTTTTTTTTGTTTTTTTGTTTTCTGGGTTTTGTTTCTTGCTTGTGACTCTGTAGCCTTTAGTCTAGGATCTTATGGTTCAAATGGTTGGCTGTTCCCCCAATTTTTATTTCAGTGGGCTCTGTTTCGTTTCAATCTGTTTGTCATATTTGAGCTAGGGATTCAATTATCTCTCCATTCTAGACACCAGCAGATTTAGCTTCAGGGGTTTTTAGCATTCAAAAGGAATATCTCGGGGGCTCATTTTGGGCTGTGGTTATCGATTCATTAGTTGGTTTTCCAGGCCTTCTGTTCCGGTGAATAGGGTTTTGTTCAGTCTAGTAGGAAGGAAGCTGCTGAGTTCTTCCCCTCATATCTTTGGCAGGTGATTGCTGTGAATGGACAGTTCCCTGGTCCAGTCCTGAATGCTACTACCAACTACAATGTCGTTGTGAATGTTATCAATGAGTTGGATGAAGGTCTCCTCATTACTTGGTATATATCCTTCTCATCCCTATGCTGCTTGTGAACTTTGAATCTATGATGACTAGTTGGTTGTTTTGGATTGGGGTGTGGAAGTTTTTGATATGGAATGGCTGTGTGTGCGTGTGTTTTGAGTATAGGCCTGGGATTCAAATGCGGCGAGATTCGTGGCAAGATGGAGTCCGGGGCACAACATGTCCAATTAGGCCAAAGAAGAATTTCACTTATAATTTCCAAGTGAAGGATCAGATTGGGAGCTACTTCTACTACCCCTCGCTGAATCTCCAAAGAGCATCTGGTGGTTTTGGCCCTGTAATTATCAACAACAGGGAGGTTATTTCAATCCCTTTTGCACAACCTGATGGCGACATTAACCTCCTCATTGGGGATTGGTACACTCAAAACCACACGGTTGGTAATTTGTTTGTTGTTTAGTTGGTATATATTGATTGATGCTCTTTTGTTGTTTAGGTAGATTAAGTTTGAGGATTGTATTTGATTATTTTCTCTTTGCTGCCTGTTTTACACTGAATGCCAGGCATTGAGGACTACTCTTGATTCTGGGAATGAACTTGGAATGCCTGATGGAGTTCTAATTAATGGGAAGGGACCTTTCAAATACAACTCTAGTGTACCTGATGGTATTAAGTATGAAACCCTTAATGTCGATCCAGGTAGCCACCTTCTCATTTGCTCTTTTTCTTTGTCTTTCCACTAGAACCAAGTGGTTTGCTTCTCTCCCTATCCTGTTGCATAATCTGTTTTCTGGTTTGTAGGCAAAACTTACAGATTTCGGGTGCACAATGTGGGCACTTCAACTAGTTTGAACTTCAGAATTCAGGGTCACAATCTGCTTCTGGTGGAGACAGAGGGACGTTATACATCACAACAGAACTACACCAGCTTTGATATCCATGTTGGCCAGTCTTACTCATTCTTGGTCACCATGGATCAGAACGCAACCAGTGACTACTATGTTGTGGCAAGCGCCCGATATGTGAATGAAACAGTTTGGCAGAGAGTCACTGGTGTTGCCATCTTGCACTACTCCAATTCCCAGGGACCAGCCGCTGGTCCTCTGCCTGAGGCGCCAAACGATATCTACAACCAGTGGTCTGCCCTGAACCAGGCAAAAACTATCAGGTTTGTGCTTTAAACGCAACTCATTTCATATGCTTCTTATGTATGAAAAAGTTTTCCCCTGACTCTTTCTCTGCCTATTAAATTTCTGCTAGGCAAAATACATCTGCAAGTGGGGCTAGGCCAAATCCACAGGGCTCATTTCACTATGGTCAGATCAATATTACTAACACATACATTTTGAGGAGCTTGCCACCGGTTTCAATCAACGGGAAAATGCGTGCAACTCTAAATGGAATATCGTTTCGAAACCCGGACACCCCAATCAGGCTTGCTGATGTTCACAAGGTGAAGGGAGCTTACAAGCTTGATTTCCCCAGTCAGCCAATGAACAGACCTCCTGTGGTGGACACATCTGTCCTAAATGCTACATACAAGGGGTTCGTCGAGATCATACTGCAGAATAATGACACCAGGTTGCAGAGCTTTCACATGGATGGTTACTCATTTTTTGTTGTCGGGTGAGTAAAACGTCTCTCTCGCGCTGCCATTGTCAAATTTCCCTCCACTTGAAAAGTTTGAAACTTTGCGCTAATTCTATCGAGTGGGATTACTGCAGGATGGACTGGGGAATCTGGTCTGAGAGCAACAGGAATGGATATAACAACTGGGATGCCATTTCTCGCTCCACGGTTGAGGTTGGCTTGCTTGCTGCTTCTCAACCCAATGAGGAACCCTGATTTGCATTGAAGTGCGAATTCATTTGGTGTTTGAAAGGTCTCTATATGATGTTTGATCTAATTATTGTGGCGCAGGTGCATCCTGGAGCATGGACTGCTGTCCTAGCATCCCTTGACAATGTCGGTGTATGGAACCTGAGAGTGGAGAATCTCGACAGGTGGTATCTCGGTCAAGAGACGTACATGAAAATAGTCAACCCGGAGGAGAATGGTGAAACTGAGTTTGCTCCACCCGATAATGTAGTGTTCTGTGGCCAGCTTCAGAACCTGGAGAAGTAATTGTCTCTCTGGCCTCTCATTTCCCCTCTCGTTTTCGTTTGTCATAGTATTTCTCCAGCCATCGAACCAAATTGCCTGACCACTTTTACTTGTGTGTGTGTTGTACAGGGACAAGAAGTCGAGTGCAGGGTCGACAATGGCGAGGAGATCCAACGTGTTGGTCAGCCTGGCGATGGCGCTTTCTGCTGTCTTCTTATACTGCATTTTGGTCTGAAACATTTTTATAGCAGTGTGGGGGGAAAGAAACAAAGAGATACACAAAAGGTCTAATTTTTATGAGGGAATTGTTAATGGTTAGTCATACACTATTGGATTGGTTGAGTTTAGGTATTTTTCCTGCTTGATTTAACTGTGCAGCTTTTTCTCTCAAGTCTGTTCTAATGTTCTTGTTTTGTTCATAGAGATGGTTCTTCTTCTCACTTTGTTAGTCCTAAATGCTAATCAGTAATCACAGCATTCAAAATCAATCCGTTTCCCTTCGTTTCCTTGTGATTATTTTTTTATATGTTTATTATTATTTTCGTCTTATTTAATATGATTTTTTGCTCCTCAATTTCGGGGTCGTTGTCTCATTGTCTGGTCCTCCATTAACGGCCGTTGACTATCTTAATAATGATGGAGTGTCTCTCGCTGTCTCTTTGGGTTCGTGAACCCGCGACCTTTGCAATCATTCGGTTCGATGCACGTTGATGTGGGCCTCCGAGCGGCCCATAGGACTGCCCCAACTGTCTGGGCGGAGCTAGGAGATCAGAAGCCCGAATGTTTTATACGGGCTGGGCTGAAGACTGAAGTTGACTTATGGGATGCGAATGGTCCATTGCCAGTGTTGGTCCAGGCCGAAATGATGAGCAGGCGCGGGACCCAGAAAATACGGCGAACATCATCAAGAGAATTAATCAAAACATGGGGAAATAAAATATTTGTTGATACACACACACATCATTAAAATCAACGACAAAAAGGACAGCATTAAAATTTCCAGACAATTTTCTCGTTATCATTCGAAGAAAGAAAGAAAGAGGGAATTAACAAACCCTAATTATTGAGTCACATAAGCATGCCTGCCGGCTTCTTTTCCCAGTGCAAGAGCGTGAAGCGCCTCCCTTTGACTATGAAGCACTGCACTACACTACACTGTGACAACTGCATGCTGCTGTCTCCTTTGGTAATCATATGATGACGGAATTTGGAGACTGCCCGGATCAGAGCAGACCAGAAAGAAAGAGCAGATGTACCCTAAACCAAAAACAACAACATATAAAAAAAAAAAAAACTCAAAACAGTTTTGGCCTATTTAAGGGCAAGGTGATCGATCATCAGCAAGAAAAGGAACATTGGTGGCAGTTTTGGCTGGCTAGCTTGGTAGACAGCATCCTCGTCTTGTTGCTTTCAACCATTGCATAAGCGTAAGTATGTACATATCCCCCATATTTCCTTTCACTTCCTTATTCTTAGCTTGTCATTTCGAGATTTCCATTTGCAATTGACGTGGTAATGGCTTGACCATGATGGGTTAAGAAGATCGATGGGTTTGTTTTGGACTTGGTGGGGTTAGCAGCTGTAGTCCTATATTCAGTCACATCCCTGATCGATTGATGATGCCTCACTATACAAAAAAACATCATTTTTGCTTGCCGCCCATCTCTTGCTTCTCTATCAGATGGCGTTTCTGCACCTTAATTGGTAGCCAAGGAAAGTTAACTCGGGTCATCATGGACCAAACTATATATCTTCTCCTAGGCTAGCTACTATATCATCTACACAGCTAAGCACGGGGCAGTTGCAGATTCATTAACCGGTCCTCATCCAGGATGTCATTCTCATGTTTGGGGAAGTGGGGTAAGCCTCTCCTTCAACTGAATATCCTTCAACAAATTGCCCTGTAGTTTTATTTTTTATTTTTATTGTTATAGTTATGCGGTATAAGATTCATTAGAGCCTTTTTTTTTTTAATATATCGAGTTATTGGGACCAACTAGTTTATGAAATGGTATTAGAGTGTTCTGTGATAGAGATGTCTTCTGTTCGAATGTCTCGATGACCCTATTTTTGAAGTGTGCGCAAATTTCAAACTCGTACAAGTAGCTAGCTTGAGTTTGAGGGAGCGTGTTAGTAAATGGTGCGAGATCTGTAATTAACTTCCTTCCAACAAGTTAGAGTTATTGTGATCACTTGTATTAGAGCTTTCTGTGATCGAGAGGTCTTCGGGTTTCGAATCCATTAATTACTAAGCACTTGGTGTCTGATGTATGTGCAAGCTTCAAGCTACTACGAGTGGCTTGCATTAGAGAAGAAGCGTATCAGTATGTGGTCTAAGATCCATTATTGAATCTATCCCAATAACTTGAATACTTGAAGTTTGCGACAAGTCGTCAATACTTAATGTATAAAAGCAACTAATCATGTCAAAAAATTTAGTGGGGGGAGGTTTGTGATGCTAATAATCCCTTGATTGAGGGTACGGTTAGGATTTCTTAAGTGCCTTCTACGCCAGAGAAAAGCCCCAGAGTCGATGGGTTTTTGGCTCTGCAGCAAACATAGATGCGCCTGCCAAATGTAGTAGTAATTCTGCTGCTTTCTTTTTGGCTAGACTTCCCAGCAAAGTATTCAGTGTAAAATCATCATGATGGAAAAAACCCACCCTTTCCCTTTCCCTAGCTATAGCTATCATGATACCCCCTACTCCAAGGAAACCAAAGCATTGGGAAAGGAATGGAAAATGGATCAATGGGATCTGCCCTCTTTTTGCTAATCCAACACTAACTTATGTTCATTGTTTCATTAAAAGCACCATCAATTCGTGTTTAGCCAAATCAAGCAAATTGTTCCATACAGAAGCATCTATCTATGCACAGTACTACTGCTTCTTCTCTTCAACCGAAATGGCAGCAGACATTAATGAACGCAAAATCCAATCACCAGCTTCAAGTACATCAGTACTGTTCATCGACAGTTGTATAAAATGTGTCATTTCTACATGCACAGTATAATTGCCACAAATGTAGTACGTTCCAATATCACTCTCCTACATATCTCATAATAAATAAACTGGTACTAATAATTCGAGACGTTGGAGATCGATTAATGTATTGTATCTAACCACTTTCTTACACGTCCGCTCAAACGAAAGTCAACTCATGAGCTTGAAGTTTGCACAGGTCTACCATGACCATGTGCTTTAACACAACAGTTAATATTGATGAGGGTCTTGAGAACATGAACAACGGCCTCAAAGCAGCAAGGATTAAAATAACCGTACCGGTCGTTGTACCGGAAAAGTCAGCGATATGGTATTTTATGCTAAAACCGTGGTTCACCCGCTTCATTATCGCTAAATACTGCCTACTGGTTTTGCCTCCTGTAGGAGGTTTTTAGTGGCAGAACCACCGGTACAGTACGGTATTTCAATCCTCTTGCCTCATAAGACAAATCAGCTCTGATACCATGTCATAAACCAAATTGTCTCAATAACTCGAATTGTTGGGAGTAATTCCTGTATGGTACTTAACCACATTTTTTACAATGTAGAAGTAACATTGATGAACAGAGAGATGACACCAAACTGGTACTAATTAATTATTAACTTACTTAATTAGCAGTGAATAATAATGACATAACATAGAGTTAATGTTATATGATGATCAACACGTCTCTTAAGATATGTTTATTATTTACACAGAAGCTTTTCTAGATCATCAATAAGAATGGCTTAAGTACTTCAATTCTCCCCCGATTCTCCATATATATGAACAGTGATCGATCGTAGATTCGTAGTATATATGCATGTATGATATATAATATGGTAGTAAATTAAATATATATCTTATAATATCGGATCTTCTCATTTCCACAGATCGATCTGACTGCTCCCAGTAGTTGTAGTAGGGCTGGACGCCGACGGCGCCGCCGCATTATCAACATTCCCGCCGCCGCCCGGCTGCACTTGATCATCATGGCTAAGTTGGGAAGCGACAAACTTATCAAGCACCCTCCAATCCGTCACCGAATCCACCACTCCATCTTGCTGCTGCTTCTGGTGATCACCGCCGCCGTCGATTCCGAAGATGGACCTCAAGCTTTGGTGGTGGTGCTGACGTGAAGAATGCAGCGTGTTCACGTCTAGACCGTAGGATGACGGCGGCGGCGATGACGTGGCCGGCGGTGGGGTTTGGAGGAGCGGGAGCTGGAGGAAGTATTGGTTGGGGTCGTGTGGGAGGGATGGGAAGAGGAGGTCGGTGGTGGGAAGATGCTCTTTCTTGGTGGTGGTGGTGGTGGTGTATGGGAAGCCGCCGTGGTGGTGGTACGGTGGCGCCGGCGGCGGAGGCTGGTGGGAGAGGGAGTTGGGGGAGTCGAGGTTGTCTTGCATGAAGGAGGAGAGTTGGTCGTCGTACCAGCAGAGTGAGGAGTCGTGGTCGCTTATCTTTCTCATTGTTGTGATCTTCTTCTTGAACACCCGACATACAACCCACCCTTCTTCCTGTATGATTTTACATTGTGCGAAATCAATCAGTCATTAGCTTCGAGTTACATTATATTCAGAGAGCCTTAAGAGTTAAGTTTAGTGACCAGAAATCCGTTGCAAACTTGAAGTCAAGTGATCAAAAAACAATATTATTGGCGAGACAACCCGATTTCTTAGAATGAATAGGACTTAATTATTGACAAGATATCAAAGTTCTATCCGATATTAGAATCCTAATAATCTCTACTTACCATTTTGTTAGTGCCTTACTGCTTTGTTATACGTTATAACCATTTTCTTATGTTTTAGAGCTTCTTTCGAGATAATCTTCTACCAGATTAATTAATTGTCAGATTAATTAATTGTGTATTTGTGTGTATATATCACATTTACGAGTAGCAATTAATAATGTTGATAAATATCTGTATATAATAATAGAAGAATACGATCCAATCTAACGTATAGCTCGATCGAATTGGATATGACTTATGAGTATGATGACAAGGAAATTGCATTATCCAAAAAAAAAAAAAAAACAGAAGAAAAACTATTGTCGCTCAAACTTGGAAAAGAAACACATTTGCTCAAATTAGGGTAGATACAAATTCAATTTGGTCCAAGTTTTCCTAGATTTTGAACTAAAATCAAATTAAATCCAATCATATTTACTCCCGCGTATATGAAACCGAATCATTGCTCATCCCAGTCCGAAAACATAGTTAAATTTCTAGAGCAATAGTTAATCAGTTTAAACAAATCAGCGTGACATTCCAATTCCCATGTTCTTTTTTTTTTTTTTTGTTCCTGTCATTGGGTGAAGAGTAAATTGAAGTAGTTTATGTCCTGGGAAGGAATATAATACATAGGAAGTTAAAAACAGTTAAAAACAAAAAAACAACATACAAAAACACTTGCCTGGGGAGCGGCGTTCTCGTCGGTCTCGAGG